AATTTCATCTGGATCGGGCAATAAATGCGACCTGTACTTTGTTTACAAAAATACATGGACAGACGGACAGACGGACGGACGGACAGACGGACGGACGGACATGCATAAATCGACTCAGAATGTGATTCTATGCAGATCATCAAAAGGAACTATGGGTCTATCTCGTTTCCTTTTGCCTGTTACAAACAAATGCACAAAGACATAATACCCTGACCACCTTGTGGTGTAGGGTATAAAAATTAAATGCAGTCGTTAATCAGTAAATGTATGTGTACAATGCACATTTGAGCCTAAACAATTATCGGCTAAGTGATACTGTAATTTTCTATCGTTTCTGATATCTTTTTTTGTTTGTGGTATAGTTTTATAACGATTTTATACTATTTTAAAATGGACTTGAGAATACAGTATTTTCTGCCTACTTGCTCATTTGAAAGTTTGAAAGGAATCTTGTACAGGTATGCCCTGGGGCCTAGTTCAATTTTTTTGCAGAGAACTTTATAGATTTATCGTTAGAATGTTTGGGTCATATCAAATACACGCTTTAGCAATTTTGAATATTTAATTTTGATTTCAAAACAAGTAAAAAAGCTGTAAGTTCGGCCGGGCCGAACTTTGAATACATTCCACCATTTGTTACAAATTTAACAATTTTCCAAATAATAAAATCCATTAAAAATTCTGTTAAAATTTTAAAAATACCGAATGTAGCCGTATATTAGGATCTATACGACGACGTGGACCGGCATAGGCAACTTTTGTCACAAGCTATTACAATATTCAAATGCAAAACTTGAAAAAAAAAAAATCGGTTCATAATGTAGCTAAAATCATCAAAATACCGAATATAGGGAGGTACCTTGGGGGTTATAAAACGTGGACCTGCACAGACAATTTTCTGTCATAGGCTGTAGTCTCCATTACGAACTTCAAATACAAAATTTGAAATAATTCCGGTAAATAATGTCGTTAAAATCATCAAAATACCGAATATCGGGCGTTATATGGGGGCTTTAAGAAGACGTGGACCTACATGGTCCATTTCTGATGAAGAATATATATACTTTGTGGGGTCTAAAATGTACATTTCGATATGTTACAAACGGAATGACAATCTCAATATACTCTCTATACCATGGTGGGGGTATAAGAAGTAAAAATTAATATCGGGAGGTACCGTTATATGGGGGCTATACGAAGGCGTGCCTCTGCACGGAATGTTTTTGTCATAGGCTGTAATATCCTTTACGAACTTCAAATACCAAATTTGAAACATTTCCGGTGAATAATGTCGGTAAAATCACCAATATACCGAACATCGGGAGGCCCTACACCACTTTGCTAATTTAGTAGAGCTCCACATAACAATTAAAAGTTTTTATGGGAGAATTCAATCATACACCCTATGATTATAATTATAATTTCCAATTCAAAAGACTAAATATGCCGAAGCATTTGTATCTTTTAAATTCGGACTTGTATTGACCATTTGGTGCACAATTAATTTGAAATCGGATAAAGATATACATGGGAGCTATATCCAAATCTGAACCGATCTCGATAAAATTTGGCAAAGTTATTTCAGAGCTGTATTCGATATATTTCCCTGAATATCGTTGTTACGGAGTGCATATTACGGTTGTGGGTAACAAATATAACAAATCGGATGGACAAAATATATGTGGGAGCTATAGCTATATCTGAACCGATTTCGATCAAATTTGACATACTAGCTTCTAGATTCAATTCGGTCGTAAGTGCCAAATTCCATCCCATTTGGACAAATATTAGACGTTTGGTGCACAATAAAAGGTAAACCGGACGAAGTTATATATGGGAGCTATATCCAAATCGGATCCGATCTCGATAAAATTTAGCAAATGTATTTCTGAGCTGTATTTGCTATATTTTCCCAAATATTGTTGTTACAGAGTGCATATTACGGTAGCGGAGGACAAAAATAACAAATCGAAAGAACAGTATATATGGGAGCTATAGCAATATCTGAACCGATTTCGATCAAATTTGGCATACTCATTTTTGGCATACTTATTTGGTTGTATGTGCAAAATTCCATACTATTCGGGCTGATATTACACGTTTGGTGCACGTTGGTCACACGTTTGGTGCATATATCTAAATTTTTACCGATTATCTCCAATTTCAATAGGGTTCGTCCTTGAGCCAAACAAATGATCTGAGCAAAATTTCATCTAGATAGGGCGATAAATGCGATCTGTACTTTGTTTACAAAAATACGTGGACAGACGGACGGACGGGCGGACATGCATAAATCGAATCAGAATGTGATTCTATGCAGATCATCAAAAGGAACTATGGGTCTATCTCGTTTCCTTTTGCCTGTTACAAACAAATGCACAAAGACATAATACCGAGACTTTGTGGTGTAGGGTAATAAAATATCCGTTGGTGGATAATGCCTGTAAAATTCAAACAAGTAAGCGAAGCTATATTCGTGCGGGGCCGACCATGTGATACCCTACAACACTGCAATATGTTGAAAGCCTCCTTATGTCCTAATCCATTTTATAGCTTTTATAGCATGCAATAGTCCGGGTCGATTGATTTTCAATTGTGACCTGTAGAGCGACTGCAGCAGTGGGAAATATTATTTTTTTGTTGGTCCATTCGAACCCCTAAATGTGCATCTCCATGGCAATAGGCTTTTATTCTGACCCTGACCCTACCCCCATGCAAAATTTCGTGATGATAGGACGATAAATGCGACCTGAGGCTGTTGAGGGTATTCTACCTCAACAAATAGTGTTGCGAGGTGTAGAAAACCTTTAGAAATTTTACAAGCCAAAATTGTAAGTCAATTTGAATTTTTTTAGATTTTATACTTTTCTGACAAGAGACCATTCCGAATTGATGTGAATTGTGAAAATTAGACCAGCGATTCTTGTCCTATAAGCGGAACAACTAACATCAATTTCTTTTACATATAGATTTTAACTATTTTGATTCCCATATCTTGGCTATCAGCATCACTATAATGGTCAGAAGTGTCCTTTTGAAGCATTTGCGATTTTGCTAGGATTAAAAAAATTGGAGGTTTAGATTAAATTTTCTTATTGTATTATTTTTCCGATGACCGTCCAAATTGGTAGGCTTCTATCCATCCCTATACTCTAACTCCTAGCAAAATTCCGCGTCGTTTGGTCTATAATTGTGGCTTGTAGAGCAAAAGCAAAATCAAGAGATTTTCCTGTTTTTGTTCCATTTCAACCCGTTAATATTTTGTGATCATCTCCAAAAACAGTAGGCTTCTATTCTGACCCTAACCCAACCTCCATTTTCAATTTCGCGAGAAAAATTGCGATCTGTAGCCTGATTACAAATTAACATGGACAGACAGACGGACGGACATACATAGCTAGAGCGACTAAGCTCGGCGAGATAGGAAGATCAATATACAGGTTTCTACGTGGGGGGCCAATATTAAAATTTGGAACAATTGCGGTAAAAAGCGTGGACCAAAATGTGGACCTATATAGCCCATTTACAATACCAAAAGTCCTGCAGAACTATCACACAGCTGATTAAAATTTTATCAACTTACTTCATTTCCTGCGGAAGCTAGAGTGAGTTCCACGGACGATTAAGCCATGTCCGTCCGTCTGACTAACTTCCGAAACAAATTATGTAGGTTGATAAAATTGCACTCAAATGTATGCTGCCTATAGGTCCATATTTTGATGTAGTCGTCATAAAACTTTGTTGCATTTTTATACCCTCCACCATACATAGTATGGAGGGTATATTAAGTTCGTCATTCCGTCATCGACATCGAAATAATAATTTTAGACCCAACAAAAGCGATTTAGCCCAGTCCGTCTGTACGTCTGTTGTAATCACACAGTAGTCAAAACGAATTAAGATAGGAAGCTAAAATTTTGCACAGATCTGTTTTTTGTCGACAGGCAGGTCAAGTTCGAAGATGCGCTATATCGGTCCACGATATCGCCCCCTTATAACGGTACCCCACGATATTCGGTATTTTGATAATTTTAGCCACATTTTCCAATGGAATTGTCTGAAATTCTACACAAGGAGTATGTCCCCCAATAATCGTATGTCCCCCATACAACGATTTCCCCCGATATTCTGTATTTTGATGATTATAGACACATTTTCCAAAGGAATTGTCTGAAATTGTACACAAGGAATTCTTTGTGAGTACTTTACCCCCTGAAAGTGAATATATAGGTTCAAAATATCGTATATCCCCCATAAACCGGCGCCTTCCAATATTCTGTATTGTTATGATTTTAGCCAGATTTTTCAATGAAATTGACTGAAAATCCATACAAGGAGTTCCTTGTGAGTACTTTCCCCCCAGACATAGATTTGTCAATATAGGTCCACAATATCGTATATCCCCCCATATATCGGCTCCTTCCGATATTCGGTATTTTTAAGATTTTAACAGAATTTTTAATGGATTTTATTTTTTGAAAATTTCTTAATTCGTCCCAAATGGTGGAGGGTATTAAAAGTTCGGCCCGGCCGAACTTACAGCTTTTTTTTTACTTGTTGGTACATTTTTAGTACTTTTAGGTATCCAATGCTATTTAGCCCTTGTTAGTGTTTGGTACACTTTTAGTGCAAATTACCAAACTTGACTGCAATTAGTTTGGTGTTGTTTATAGTCTTTTTCCCCCAAAATTAAATTTTTATTTCGCCATGCCTTGTAAATTAACACAATAGAAATCTGTCACCAAATTATGAAATTTAAACTGAAAGTTATGACTTAATATTTGTGGCGGAACAAACCTCGCCAAAACTTGGAGAGTGGCAATTGCTATTGCCATAAAACATACTGACCATTTTCGGAGAAAAACATTTTGTTTTACATATTTTTATTGACTTGCCGCCGTTTCATACTTTCAATTAATGGCCAAATTACCAAAATTGTTATTCGAACTAATAGATTACCCAATTAAGGAGATTTACAATAAATATTAGCGATTTCTTACCACAACTCACGATGGCTGTTGCGAACAGCCACAATTGGAATGCCAGCATAGTTTCTTTCTTATCGGCAATAATCCAGCACTTGAGTTAGTTAGAGAATCCTTGCAGAAGGATCTTAGGATCTCCTCTCTTCTCGTTGCAGGCAATTAAATTGTGATTTGTAACAAGAATTCAAAATGGAAATGAATATTCACTCAAATTTCCCAGCAAAAACAACAATTAAAGGGGGATAACTGTTATTCTTTATTTCAAATTGCGGATTATTTTAAAATTCCAACTAAATAATTTTTATTCATTTTTTTTTCAAAAACACTTTTCATCAACTCTTTTTTTTTTGGCTTCCGTTTGAAATTATCCGTTCCCAAAACAAAAGTACGAGCTTTAATAGTTTTGATGTTTTTTTATGTTTGTCACACACGCCAATACAACACGTCCCGTCTTAAGCTCTGCTTAATGCCGAATGGCTGGTGTTAGTATTTCAAACAGTGGCTAGCGTTAGTCAACAACGGAAAACCACTAAAAACCAGGCAATACTCACTGCTGCCCTTTCATTGTGCAGAGGGACAGACAGTCAGCTAGATAGCCAGCCAGCCAAACGATAAACCCAAAACCAACACATAGCCAGTCCAACTAACTCTCTATTGTGTTCATCCAGTGCAATCAACGCGCGTACAAGGTAGGTAATGTGACCGTATGTGTGTGTGTATGTTTGTATGTGTGCCCACTGTCAAAACGAGTGCGGCAAGCTATGGTCTGGAAAATTTTTTATTAAGCGTTTCTTCATCTTCGGCTTTTGATTTCGAGGTGACTAACCGCATAAGTGTTTTCAGGGCAGGGGGGAATTCCCAAAAAAAAAAAAAAAAACAAACTCGACTTTTCATCCATCCTCTGCCACATTAAGAGCCGAGGAATCGTAAAGATCGATGATAAGAGATTTAATGACTTGTCTAGTTTTCTAAGCAAATAATTACTACCTGCTCTGGAGGTAAGACAAAAGGCGTATGAAGGCAGATTTATGACCGTGATTGTTGCACATCACTTGTAATTATAAAATGCTATGGCTCAAAGATTTACTAACCTTTAGCTGAGAAGCTAAGATTATTTTTTAGGGTAGACGAAATTTCATTAGCATTTTCACTTTCACATCTGTCATTGGAGGGATAGAGTGAGAGAGATAGACCTTCATTAGGATAAAATGCCTTATGGAGGATTTTTCAAATTTTCAACCTCTCTTATATCGATACGAGTTGGTTCGTATATATGTTATTTTAAGCATTACCAGTAATGACAACCATATACCCCCTGCATTACCAAAATTCCGAATTAATGACAAGTAATGATTTATTCTCATAAAATTAATAAGGCAAAATAACTTACGTTTATTGTACCAAGTAATGAGTTAAGGCGGTACAGGAAAAATACGTCGAACTACGAAAAGTAAAAAAAAAACATTTGAGTTCGGCCGGGGCAAACTTTTAATACCCTCCACCATTTCGAAGGATTTTAAAAAATTTCAAAACAAACTTACAAACTTACGTTTATCGTACCAAGTAATGAGTAATGGCAGCACAAGAAAAATAAGTCGAACTACAAAAAGTAAAATAGCATCTAAGTTCGACTGGGTAGAACTTTTAATACCCTCCACCATTTTGAAGAATCTTGAAAATTTTCAAAAAAAAAAAAAAAAAAAAAAAAAAAAATCCGTCAAAAAAAGCCACTTAAATGAAAATCGTTAAATGGGGCTATACGAAGACGAGGACCTGCATAAGTACTTTTTTGTCATAGGCTGTAGTACCGATTCCGAACTTCAAATACGAAATTTTGAAACAATTTCGTTAAATAATATCGCTAATATTATGAAATTTGAAACAATTTCGTCGAATAATGTATCTAATGTCACCAAAATATGGAATAAAGGGAGGTACCGTTATATGTGGGCTATATGAAGACGTGGACTTGCATAGACAATTTTCCGCCATAGGCTGTGCTACTCATTACGAACTTCAAACTTTAAATGCGAAATTTGAAACAATTCCGGTCAAAAATGTCGCCAAAATTATCAAAATACCCAATATCGGGGGGTAACGATATATGGGACTATACGATATCGTGGGGAAATTCTCTTCCAGGGAGCAAACTGCTCAGAAGGAACTCCTTGTATGGAGTTTTAGACAATTCCATTGAAAAATTTAGCTACAATCATCAAAATAACGAATATAGGGAGGGTGGTAAGATAAAAAAAACTGCAACAAAGTCAAACGCTATAATTTTTACATATTTTTTAATTTTTTCGAATGAAAGCAAAAAATGTCGGAAATAGCATCAAATTTTAGAATAAGTTTTGAGTTGTTCGAATTGGTCACCTTTAGCACAAATTACGGCCTACAGACGGCCAATGAAACCGTCACACGCTGCCTGAATCTCCTCTGCGGTATTTTGGCCCATTCCCGGCGAAGCGCTTTCTTGAGGTGATCGACACTTTGGTGTTTTTAGTGCCAACTTTGCTTTCCAAAATACTTCAGACACAGTAGTCCAACGGATTGGTATCCGGAGATTTTGGTGGCCATTGTGCGCTGGACATGAAGCGATGAACCTCATTTGTAACCATTCTTGGGTGGCGCGTACTGAGTGCAATGGTGCTGAGTCCTGTTGGAATGTCCAAGGACTGCGGCCAAAATATTTGCGTGCCCATGGATTTAATACACCCTCTAGAATATTTTCGCGATAATATTCGTCATTTATTCTGATTCCCCGGTCGATTAATACAAGCGGAGAGCGACCATCGGCTGTTATGGTGGCCCACACCATCACCATGGAAGGCGCTTGAGTTCTTGTGGCCAACCGAAGGTGCATATTTTAAGCTGACCTCTTTGGCAAGTAAACACTATCATTTTGTCTATTTACAAACTGCTGGACAACGAATGTTTTCTCATCAGAGACGGAGAAAACCAAATTCGGCAGTTCACCACCTTCTGCCAAGCGAAGCAACTCTTTTGAGTCTATTTTCTTTCAGTTGCGGTGTAAGTTCTTGCACTTTTTGGAATTTCAATGGCTTTACCCCGAACTCATTTTTCAATATTTGCGTTATGTTAAGCTCACGACCCATTTTTCGGCCACTGCGACGCGGGTTTCGATCAAGTCGCTTCTTTACTTTTCGAACCATTTCTGCTGATGTTGCTGTTTTCTTCCGTCTACTTCCTTGACGTCGGGCTATTCTAGCAATATCACGGTAACGGTAATGGGCGATGGTACGAGACACAAAATATTTATTCACATTTTAATGCTGGAGTGCTCTAACGATAGCCACTTGTGGTTTTCCAGCCGAATATAAAGAAATCACACTATCACGCTTGAATTCCGTCGCAAATAACTTTTTTCTGGAAAATTCTCACCAAAATGCTTTTGTACGCTTGTAAACAATATAATGAGCTGTCACTGGAATAATTTTAACAGCTGTCGGACGAGTGGCTTAGAAATTACAGCAGTCTGTTGTTGGTTCCAGTTTTTTCATCTCACCCTGTATATGTGCAAATATAGTACTATTTAGTGCTTTTCGTACACTTCTAGTACATAGTTCCAAAACTACCCCTATATCACAAACTAGCTACCAACTGGGACCCAATACAAAATTCCAGCTTCATTCGTTCAACCTAAATAAAACTGTTTCAAATTTGGTACCATTTAGTACAGTTCGAACACTTAGTACACATTTCAAGAACCACCTTCATATATCAAACATACTTTCCAACCATGATTCTAATACCGAATTTAAAGTTTCTAGGTCTATCCATTCACATTATACCAAATTGTGCCATTTTAGAACTTTAGTAACATATTAGAACATTTCCAAAAGTTCGAATTTGCAATAACCCATTGGTGCATCTATCCCATACTCCATCAGTGACTCTCATTCCCAATTTTAGACCTCCAGCTCCATCGGTTCATCACAATTCCAATGTGTACAAAAATTTAGTACCATTTAGTACACATAAGTACAAATTTCCAAAGCTACCTACATATTTTAATACTACACTCCGTCAGTAATCTTATTTCCAATTTTCAGGATACCAGCTCTATTGGTTCACCCAAACTTTAAATTGTACCAAATTTAGTACTATTTAGTACACATAAAAACGAATTTCCAAAACTACTTACATACCTAAGTCCTATAATTCAATACCAACCTTATTTCCAAATTTCAAAATTCCTACTTTGCTGGTTCTCACAAAATGTAAATTGTACCAAATTTAGTACCATTTAGTACACATAAGTACGAAATTCCCAAACTACCTACATTCCTCAGTCCTAGAATGCAATAGAAATCTTACTTCTAAATTTTGAGCATTCCAGCCATATCGGTTTACCCAAATCAACATTTTACCAAATTTAGTACAATTTAGTACTTTTCGTGCACATAAGTACACATACCGAAAACTACCTCTATATCCCAATTCTACACTCCGCCAGTAATGTTAAGTTCAAATTTCAGGATTCCAGCTCCATCCTTGTATCCAAATTCAAATTGTACTTTATTTAGTACCGTTTAGTACTGTTCGTATACATGAGAATACACTTCCAAAAATACCTCCTTACATCGACTCTATTCCTCAACCTTGATCCCCATTCCAAATTTCAAGTTTTTAGCTATAACTGTTCTAAACGGTACTAAATCTAGTACATGGTACTAAATCGTACATTTGTAGTGCGAATTTCCAAAAAAATACAGGGGAGATAAAAAGCTGGAATCAACTTCAGACTGCCGTCATTTCTAAGCCACTCGTCCGACAGCTGTTAAAATTATTCCAGCGACAGCGCATTATATTATATACAATATAATACTGGTGATACTGGTAGCGTATCCCGACGTCAAGGAAGTGGACGCAAGAAAACAGCAACATCAGGAGAAATGGTTCGAAAAGTAAAGAAGCGACTTGATAGAAATCCACGTCGCAGTGGCCGAAAAATGGCTCGTGAGCTAAATATATATCGCGATATTCCATTCGGCAAATAATGAAAAATGAGCTCGGGTTAAAGCCATTGAAATTCCAAAAAGTGCAAGAACTTACACCGCAACAGAGAAGAAAATAGACTTTAAAGAGCTAAAGAGTTGCTTCGCTTGGCCAAAAGTGGTGAAATGCTGAATTTGGGTTTCTCCGTCTCCGATGAGAAAATAGTCGTTGTCCAGCAGTTTGTGTTTACTTGCCAAAGAGGTCAGCTGAAAATGTGCACCTTCGGTTGGCCACCAGAACTCAAGCGCCGGCCATGGTGATGGTGTGTACCGCCATAACAGCCGATGGTCGCTCTCCGCTCGTATTAATCTACCGTGGCATCAGAATAAATGTCGAATATTATTGCGAAAATATTCTGGAGGGTGTATTAAAGCCTTGGGCACGCAAACATTTTGGCCGCAGCCTTTGGACATTCCAACAGGACTCAGCACACGCCACCCAAGAATGATTACAAAATGAGGTTCCTCACTTCATTTCCAGTGCACAATGGCCACCAAAATCTCTGGATAGCAATCCGTTGGACTATTGTGTCTGGAGTA